AAATAAACCCAATTTTTACTTGGAACACTGATGCAATTGATTCTGTGTTGAGTAGGGTTTGTTGTTGTTCAGTCGCACAGTCGAGTCCGACTCTTCGCGACCCCATGGACCAGATCACGCTAGGCCTTCCGGTCTTCCACTGTCCTCTGAAGTTTGCTCAACTTCATGTTCATTGCATCTGTGACACTGTCTAACCATCTCATCCTTTGCCGTCCCCGTCTTCTTTCCCTTCAATCTTTCCCAGCATCAGAGTCTTCTCCAGTGAGTGCTCCTTTCTCATTGGGTGGCCAAAGTATTTGAGCTTCAGTTATCTGGCCTTCCGGGGAACAGTCAGGGTTGATTTCTTTTAGGATTGACTGATTTGATCTTCTTGCAGTCCAAGGGACTCTCAAGACTCTTCTCCAGCACCATAGTTCAAAGGAATCTATTCTTCGTATAGTTTATTTGGGAACCCAATTTCTACTTGGAACACTGATGCAATTGATTCTGTGTTGAGGAGTGGGGTACGGATGGACATCTATTGATTGGCATATGAAACTTTTATTGATGCCTTGGGAATGATCCCTGCTGAAGGCAAAATTGCTGGGGAGAAGGAAGAGGTTCTTCTGGGAGAGGGAAGCGCAGGTGACGGGAAGAGGCATCTCCCCCCTTCTTTGTGCTGTGCTTTTAATTGCTCTTCACCACACCTGTTTTATCTGAATTCTGCAGGATCACACCTGGGCCCAGTCTAGTCCTGCTCAGGTTAGAGAAATGCGACTCCAAACACATGCAAGCTCATTTTGAAAACTGTCTTTTTAATTAATAACATTCATCCTTATTCAAAAGTTGGACTGTTTTGGCAATGAAATTCTTCCCTCCCCTGCTTCCCAGTTAAGGTTTCTGGAGGCCATTCAGAAGTTGTGATCATATTCCAGTGTATCACTGTTCTCTCACCCAGCCCCCAAACTTCCCAGGCTGTGCTAAGAAGAGAATTTGGGGGTAGGCTTCTCTTTCCTACCCTAGACTCCCCCAAATTCACACCACAAAGTGGGTGAAGTTTCAAGTATTCTTCTCCCAAAGTCATGAGAGAGGATCAGAATTTGTGGAGGTCATTCCTAGGTGTCTTTAGAGTGCTTTCCTTCTATGCATCCCCCCCCCTAACATTTCCGCAATCCATACATTATTCAGGCCATTTACCATTTTGAGGCACAATCCTGCTTTTATTCTCATACCTCATGGTCTGCCCAAACTCACAGGATGTCCTGCCAATACCTTGGTGTGCATTCGGACACCACGAGGATAGAACTCTGGTTATTTGCCCCACCAAATATAATGAGGTTTCGGGGTACATTCCTGTGCATGTTATACTCTTCTGCCAAATATGGTTTGGCTGGCCTGCACAACATTTCGGGCACTTTCTCTCTGTGTGTGTACTCCTCTCTCCCTAACATTTGGGATGTATAGAGATTTAGGGTACCTTTGATGTTCAATCATTCGCTTTTGGGATTACAGGGAAGCAATGTAAAATGGCAAAATTCTCCCTTCATGAGCTCCTGTAGGGCCTCTTCCCTTTTAAAGGTAGTCTGTTAAACTGGGTTGTACCACAGTCTGCCTAAATTTTTTTCAAACTCTCTGGAAGCGATATAAGGGAAGAAGGGATGCTCCAAACGCCTCTGATACAGACAGTCCGATGTGGTGTTCAAAGGCATGCCGCATAATTCCCCTTCATATGAGGGGAGGCAGAGCGACACAGCATTGGGAGACTGTGGCTTCCTCAGTAAGCGACTGAAATTATGAGGGAGCGACAGACACCCTTGAACATTCAACAGGACGACATTGGCTGCGACGGGGCCTCTCTACATGACAGTTTTGGAGGGCCGTGCGCCATCGACTGCAAGAGAGGAGAAAAATACAAGTGAGGGGAAAGCTTTAGATAAATATAAATGCTGCCTTTACTTCATGAAATGGGAAGGGTAGCAAGAGGACCAGTGGGGCGATCAGGGGCCCTCGAGGCAATCCACAAACCCCACCCATGCGCCGATCCTGAAATGGGTTAAGGAGACCAAATCCCCCTCCCAATAGGCAAAGGGAGCATCATAAAAAGTCAGGGGCTAAGGCCCACAACCCCAGGAGTTTGCATACTTGCACAGCTTCAAGGTTTTCAGAATGAAGGGCCAAGAGTAGGGGGTGCCAACCTCCAGGTGGGGCCTGGGGATCTCCCAGAATGACAACTGATCTCCAGACGACAGCGATCAGCTCCCCAGGGGAAACTGGCTGCTTTGGAGGGTGGCCTCCAGGGCATTATACCCTGCTGAGGTCCCTCCCCAGGCTCCACCCCCCAAATTTCCAGGAATCCCCCAACCCAGAGTTGGCAACCAAGGTCCCAAAAAAAAGTTGTGCAAGCTGTTTTGAGTGTAGGGCCCTCTGGGCAGATCTTCCTTTGGGGTGTGGTGCTTCCTGGGGGGAACGGGAGCGAAACCGAGTGGAGCCGCTCAGAGGCCGGCTCCCTTGTTTCCCTACCGTGTAGTTTGTAGTTGGCCCCTTTGCACCGCCGTGTGGGGCGCCGCAGGTCTCGGTTGCTCCGGAGGCTTCGTTGTAAGAGGGGCTGGAGGGGTCTTGAGTTATCGCTCATGCTTCGGAAAATTTGGGAAGGAAGGTTCTGGCTGAGAAGGCGAAGGGAGTGGATCTGGGAAAGAGAGAGGTGGGAGAGGGAAACTACAAGATGCATCAGGGCCTTCCGGCTCTCGGGAAGAACAGAACACTCTTAGGGGCTTGTAAAGTGAGAAAAATGGAAGCCCGGCCGTAAGAGCAGCCGTGCCGAATGAGACCAATGGTGCATCTTTGTCCAGCATCCCGTTTTGGCTGACTAGATGCCTCTGAATGGCCTACAGACAAAGAATGGGGGCAAAGATTATCCCCATTGTTGCCCTCCCCAGAACTGGTATGCTGAACATGAAGTTCCCATTTCGTCCTTGCAGCTAATAGCCACTGATTGTCTGATTGTCCATCAGTTTATCTACTCCCCTTTTAACGCTGACTAAGCCCAATAAAGGAAGCCACGGCCGCCTTCTTGCAATACTGGAGCAAGGCTGTTAATAATGGGACATTTTGGTGATTGTCAATTCCTGCGCTTACCATAAGTCAAAAGCAACTGGGCAGCACATTTACATACACAACCCAGTGGCCATCAGTACATCCTCTGGCAGCAAATTCCACAGGTCTCAGTTATTCCTTCAGTAAGGAAGTACCTCATTTCTATCCCCATCTACTGATTTCCTTAGCTGGAAATCTATAGAACTGGCTCGAGAAGTTACTGGGGCTCTCTGATGTCCCTTTAACTAGGAGCCACGGCCACACAGACCCACCTGGACGGAGGTAATGTTGATGGGTCGGTCAATGAGGATCCAGGTGACCGTTTCGTAGCATGGAGGGGTCGACATGGATCCCTGGTAGGTGATGAAACCGAACGTCTCAGGGTAAAGATCCTCAAGACTCAGGTCGTGGAGAAGGTAGGCATCATCTGTAACATTAGAATGAATCTGCTAGACCAGACCAGACTAACATCCAGTGCAGACCAGGCATTCTAGACTACAGTCTGCTAATAGGTCAGCCTCTGTGGGATTCGCACCCAGGCTGTTCCCTTCTTGGCTGTTCAGAGCATGTGACTTTCAGAGTTATACTGCCTCTGAATATAGAAATTCCATTTGGCTACCATGACCAGTGGATCTACCCATAGCTGTAGCCAGGGCAGGGACACCAGGTGCGCCATTCCACCTTCAACACTGATTTGCCCCAGCGATTTCTTTCCAGAATGTTTTTTTTAAAAAAAAAAATCTATGATGGGATTCGAACCTGAGTCTCTCAGATCCTAGTCTGACACTCTCACAGGCTTTCTGTCCATTCCTTGCTCCGGCTAGAGGTAGGGTTGCCAGCTCCAGGTTGGGAAATACCTAGAGATTTTCGGGGCGGAGCCTGAGGAAGTGGGGGTTGGGGAGGGGAAGGGACTTCAGTGGGGTATACTGCAATAGAATCCACCTTCCAAAGCAGCCATTTCCTCCAGGGGAACTGATCTGTGTCGCCTGGAGATCAGTTATAATCAGGGGTCATTTCCTGCGGGAGCGCACAGGAACGGAGCTCTGGCAGTAAGGAGCCCAGGGGGCGGGCACATGCAACAAGCCCCACCCCCTGTTCCCAGCAGCCCTCAGTCGGGCCACGAGGAGCA